CAACATTTACTTTATGCTGATGATAAAAAAATATATCTGCATGTACGCACTATCAAAGACTGTGAACTTATTCAAAATGACTTAAATACATTATACTATTACTATGCCGCTAATAAGATCACGGTAAATGTTGGTAAGTGTCAGAGTATTTCATTTACGTGGAAAACTAATCCCATAGTTTTTCAATACAATTTCAATGGTGTTGTAATCGAGAGGGCTACGGTGGTGCGCGATCCAGGCGTATATTTTGACTCCCGCATGACAATGAACGAGCATATTGGAATTGTAATAATTGGAATTTGTAACTAGAACTTGTCTTCCTTTCTCTAATTTGCAGAGCCTAAAAGTAGTATATTTCACATACGTTAGATCTATATTAGATAATGCCTGTCAGATATGGTCACCATTTTATGCTAAACATGTTCATACTATCGAAAAGATTCAAAATAAGTTCATTTCCCATTTAAATTATAAAATTAGACGTTCTGACTCTTCATATCAAGATGATTGCAGATTTTACGGTCTGTTAATGCTTGAAGAAAGACGTACTCTGCTGGATATGGTACTTTTATTCGATATATTATACGGCGGAATTGACTGCCCTGATTTATTGGCCTACATTAAATTTAACGTCCCAATGAAAAGTACTAGACATACCAGAAACTCTTTGTTTTACATCCCCTTTCACTCGACCAATTATGGGAAAAACTGTGTTCTAACGCGTTTGGTAGCAACTTACGACAGAAAATTTAGCTCAATTGATCCTTTTAATAGTACTAAAAGTGGATTCAAAAATAAAATTAACAAGTTTCTATTCACTCCAGCTGAAAGTAATCAGTAAATTGTAATTAAAATAGTACCTAAATTATTATTTGTTCCCTCGTTTAATACTGTTATTCTTTTATCATTAAATTGATTGTATACATGTATGTTGTATGTGTATGTATGTATGTATGTATATATGTATGTGTGTATGTGTGTGTATGTGTATGTGTATGTATGTATATGTATGTATGTATGTATATGTATATGTATGTATATATATATATATATATATTCATATGTGTGTTAGTAAGTTTAATTATGTACGTCTTTTGTAAGTGTATATATGTGTATGAGTATATGTATGTACATCATGAAAGTAATATCAATATTTCAATTAATTTTTTAATGCTTAGAATTAGTGCTTACCGAATTTGTTTTGTAGATTTACAGTGTTATGTTTGGTTATGTACTTTGTGGATAACTATTATTGGCTTTTTCGTGTTTAATAATTTAAGTAAAATGTTTAAGTATTAATAAGCTGTTGTTATCTTGAATTAAATAAAAATAAAATAAATAAAATAAAATAATGTACCACGAAAGGAACTTCATTCCAACTAAGTATTCCACGACACACACGCATGTTTATTTTTGTGTAATTTAGTTTGATATAATTGTTTTACGTATATATTTAAAGTTATTCACTATAAAACCGACCGAGATTAAAATATAAGTGAAAAATGTGCACGTTGCAATCGAAATCACAAATGAAAATTATGTTTCATTAAGTGAAACAATCGTAAGTATAACAAATTGATTCTCTTTTTTATACTTAAGTTTTCATTAGCAGGAATCAGTACGGTAAAAATCAGAAAGTAGCACAGATTGTAAAAGAAAACTGATTTCTTTAAAAAACGCTATTGGATCATAAATTGTGCGTATTTGTATAATAAGCTTGAAGTGCTCTAATTTTTCATGCGCATCGCGCTCGGCGTCTCCTTTCCTTCAGGCAACTAGGCCGCTATCCAAATTTATTTTCTGTCTCAAATAATTCATCATTAGATGATATCCTTCAGACGTTCTTTTTTCTATTTCTTTTTCTTGATTGCTCAAAAAGGTCTACTGAAAAGGTCCTCCGTCACATCAATATTTTATTCTGCACCAGTAGCTTACTAGCTATGTAGATATAAAAACGGTTTAAATGCATGTTTGAACACACATAATTAACGAATCGATTAAGAGCCGGAATATTTGCTTCTATTAATGTATAATATATAATAGATTTATTTTATATATTTATATTATTTAATAGTGTTAGAGTTTAATACGTGATAGTTGTAGCACGAATGGGTCGGCTCGACCGGGGAAGGACCACGCTCTCACAGAATACCAGCGTAAAATAGCAGCATTAACACTGCTGTGTTTCGTATGGTGAGTGTAGAGAACTGGAGACCCTTTTTAGTGGAAAATAGGCATTCCATCTTAGTCCTCATGGGTGACAACGCATCCGCATTAAGATTCTTTATTGAGGATAGATGTGGATGTCTGTGGGTCACAGCAACTACTTACTATCAGGTGGAATGTGAGCTCGTTTCTCACCCAAATATCCATCCAAAAACCATCAAATAAAAAAAAATTAAATAATTATAACTGCTATAAAATGTATTATTGTGACTGCCTCGCTGGTCGTAAACACGAATGCTGACTATGAGATCCCGGGTTTGAATACTGGGTCGGGCCAAAATCAGTTCTTGGGTTTTTGTGTCAAGAAATTCCTAGTAGTAGTCCGGAATCAGGAAGTTGAAGGTGTTTTATTCATCCCCAGTCCTTGAAAAACACGTTAAACCGTAGATCCTGCGCCTGATCTCTCTGGGTTTCGACGAGAGTGAAGGAGCGCACCTGTGCATGTGGAGGACATTTTTATACTATAGTAAATTGCATGATAAATAAGCCGTTGTTGCGAGCCCACGCCTTCCAGTCCGAGTCCGATACACACTGAACTCGGTCTGTAGAATGCCACTGAGCATCCACGCCCAAGCTACCCTACTCTTCCTGAATGTGGGTGCTCAGGCTGCCGGCGTATTCTGAGGAGGGGAGGAGGGAGGCAAATCATGCTCACTACTAACATTGCGATAAAACGGCGGCAACCCCTGCAACGCTAGCCGTGGACTTATGTAACATTTGGGAAATGTACTGTTACTGTCGGATCTCTATAGGACTGACAACTGGCTCGAATTGCGCTTATTCGATCATCCGGGGAGATCTGTTTATGACTTTGCCTTGGTACATGGTCTCACACAAATGATTTCTTCACCTACGCGGATTCCAGATGTGGAGGATCGTGCACCTTCCCTGTCGGACCTTCTGCTGATCTATCTTCTCTTCGGACCATTATCACTCACGTGGTGCCACTTACGCTCCCTTCGCGGTTTCGTTATGCACGCTGCCGCCATGTTGGGCATTACAGGTCAGCGGACTGAGACGGAATGCGTTCTTTCTTTTGCATCCTACCTACCGTTGCTTCTCGCCGGATTATCACAGCGCTATTGCTGATTCTGTCACTGATAAAGTACTTCTGGGAATGGAACTATTTATTCCATCATCTTTGGTACGCATCGGAGGCAAATCTCAGCCTTGGTTTGATCCTTCCTGTAAAACTGCATCACACAGTAAGCAGGAGTGTTTTCAGGCCTATACTGACGCTTCAGTGGTCCGGGATGTGAACAAGAGTATCCTTAAAAAGAAGTATAACTCCGCCTCCAGGTCCTTCAAAAGAGTTATTGCCAAGAAAAAGTATGAGCACATATGGCAGAATTGGCAAGAAATTAGTACGCTTTCCTTCGGGAACCTGTGCATTCTGGTCTCTCACCAAGGCTGTCCAAGGGAATTTTTTAAGCCATTCTCAGGGATGACGATTTACGTGTCCACGACGCAAAAGTGAAAGCCGGCCTTTAAAGCTCCCTTTTTGCGTCCAACCCAACTCTCGATGACGGAGGAACACACCGCCAACCTTCCCGCTGTGTGAGTGCTCTATGCTTGATGTGCGATTCAAACATTCTGCATATCAGCAGCGTGTTACAAACCAGTAACATTCATTTTTTTTCTTTTTATAAAAACGTACCCCCATACTAGGATTTTCTCCTGTGTCGTGGAGGCAGTTTACAAACATAAATTGCACAAGGACAAACATCCAGATCCGCAACAATTATTTGTAGGCCATACAAACACTTGTTCCGTGCGGGATTCGAACCCGCGGACCCAGCGCAACAACTCATTGCTAAGCCACTGCGCCACGGAGCCGTCGATTCATTGTTTTGCAAAAACAGCACTGTCGATGCCTTATATGCCCGCAGTGCTAATATTTCTCGGTAACACGGCGTCGAGTGCCGGAACAAACTTGTGTCTGAAATCGAGTCTTTTTTTAGGGTTCCGTACCTTAAAAGGAAAAAACAGAACCCTTATAGGATCACTTTTTTGTCCGTCTGTCTGTCTGTCAAGACCCTTTTTTAGGAACGCGTGGAGGTATCAAGCTGAAATTCATATCAAATCTACTATCCCTAAGAGCTGTGATAAATTCAAACTTCTAAGCCAACGCAATCAAAAGATACAGCCGTTTATGCCGCAAATTTTCGACATTCGCAAGGGAATCAAAACCTGCAGGGTACTTCCCGTGAACTCAGAATCTTAAAATTTGGTACGAAGCAACGTATTATAGCACAGATAAAGGAAAAATTGCGAAAAGTATGAATTTTAAGTTACATCATATACTTAAAATATTTTTAATAATTTTAACACTAGATAACTAAACATTCGTCCACGTGACTACGCCCCTATCCAAGAAAGTCAAGTGCACTTACTTCCCCGCGCCCCGCTCCCGTCCCGCTTTGTTTACCTTCCTGATTGGTGCGAATAGTTCATCGGGTGACGCGGTTGCGATCACGCGATAATTAGGAAGTGACCTACGGCTACATCGTCGTCAGGTTGACGAAAGTTTAGTTACTACGTACGTTAATTTGCAAAGGTATGCACAATTATTTTTTTTATATTATTTATTATTTATACAAGGCTTACACGAAATATTTCTTTTTAGTTTTATTTAAATTGATATATTTTACTATTTAATTATATATTAAGTTATTTATAGCGAAATTAAAATATTAAAAAATACATTTTATGTGATATTTCTTTGTTCCCACTAAATATTTGATTCTAAGATTTGCACTTTTTATTATTTTTAGATGGATTTGAGAAATCAAGAAGAGCAGATAAGTAAGTGGCTGGAAGAAGTGGAAGATAAAGAGGAGGGTTCGAATGATTCGGTCTCAGAGACGGAGGATAACGTGGAGGAAGAAATAGATATCAACACCTCTGATTCCGAATTCTCAAACGGATCTTCAGAACCTGAGGATGACATCATACGACCAAGTAAGAGACAAAGAACTCAAATTGTAGACTTTGATGACTCTTTAGAGTATATTCATGAAACTAGAATTAGTTTCATGAATATAAAACTCCTAACCTCAAACTTCAAACCAAGGTAACCAGCATGTTCTTCAAGTAACTCCCCGATTCCTTAATGGGAAAAACAAACATAAATGGTCGTCTGTACCTAGATCAGCTACTACTCGTACTCTGAGACGGAACATCGTACATTTTATACCAGGTCCAAGAGGAGAAGCTAGGGAATTACAGGAATCAATAGATTTATTTTGGCCTTTCATGATTGATGATATGCTGCAACAAGTTGTGACATTTACCAATGCAGAGATTATTACTCAAAGGAATAGATATAAACAGGAGTCTTATACCGTTTCACAGACTAATTTGTTAGAAATTAAAGCTCTGCTTGGTTTGTTACTGATCGCCGCAGCTATGAAGAGCAACCATTTGCCAACTTGCATGCTATTCAATCCTCAACGATCAGGCACAATTTTTAAAGCTTGTATGAGTGCAGAAAGATTCAATTTTCTCATTAAATGTATGCGATTTGACGAAAACAAACAAGAAATGACAGAAGAAAAGAGGACAAGTTCACACATATACGTGAACTGTGGCAAAATATGATTGACAATTTTCAAAAATGGTATACGCCAGGATCATATATTACTGTAGATAAACAACTGGTTGGCTTTCGTGGAAGATGCCCATTTAGAATATATATCCCTAATAAACCAATTAAATATGGGATAAAGCTTGTTATGGCCGCAGATGTTAACAGTAAATACCGCATAAATGCAATTCCGTACCTGGGAAAAGGAACCGATACCCAAAAACAGCCATTGGCTACATTCTTCATAAAAAACATAACAATTCCTTCACATGGCACCAATCGTAACATAACGATGGACAATTGGTTCACGTCTGTAATTTTAGCCGATGAGCTATAACAGCCACCTTATAATTTGACTTTAGTAGGGACTTTGAGGAGTAACAAACGGGAAATTCCTGAAAAACTTAAGAATTCTAGGACTCGCGCAATTGGTACTTCGATGTTTTGTTACGATGGCGACAAGACATTAGTTTCATATAAAGCCAAGTCAAACAAAGTGGTTTTTGTGTTGTCCACAATTCATGATCAACCAAATATTGTAGACGCGACCGGAAAACCGGAAATAATTCACTTTTATAACACTACTAAGGGTGCCGTAGACACGGTTGATCAAATGTGCTCGAATATGTGTGTCAACCGAAAAACTAACAGATGGCCATTATGCATTTTTATAATATGTTAAATCTAGTTAGTATCAATGCCTATCCTATTTACGTCTCGAACGACTTGAGAAATAAGAAGAAGACACTACGACGCGATTTTGTCATGAAGATGGGAGACCAACTTATGGACCCTTGGCTAAGGGAGCGATTACAAACGGTGACTTTGAGGTGTGACATCAAGGTTATGATAAAAGATATTCTTGGTGAGTCATCAGAACCTGAACTCCCTGTTCATTCTGTGACCAATGTGCGTAAAATATGTTACCTATGTTCATCAAAGGCTCGTAGGATGACAAAACATTGATGCATGAAATGCAAAAATGCCATTTGTGGATCGCACAATATTGACGTGTGTAGTAGCTGCGCAGAATAATTATTTATTGTTAAATGTCTTTCACATCAGTTGCTATTAAACCGAACTTAAGTGCCATGTAAACAGTTCCTATTTTAATAAATACTTTTGATAATTTTCATGTTTTTTATTGTGTAGTCTGCCTGACGAAAGTTTAGTTACTATGTATCTACGAATATAGTTTAGTTACCTAGGGTTAAACTTATATACCTACGGATTTGTTCGGAACCCTTGGTGCGCGAGTCCGACTCGCACTTGGCCAGTTTTTTTTTTAAATGACTTGGATTGTGGGCGACTAAATCTAGTCCATTTCAATCCCCAAAGAACCCAACATGTTTGCGCATTCACTGCTAAAAAGAATCCCTTTGTCGTATCTCTTCTGTTTCAAAGCACTTCCATCGCATCGGATTCCTCAGCGTTGACATATCGAATGACGTTCAGTTCCACGTTCACTTGGAAGGAAAGGTCAAATTGGCCTCTAAAAAGCTTGGCGTGCTTTGCAGAGTGGGACAGTATTTCATGCCGGCACACCGCTTTCACCTTTATAAAGCGCAAGTTCAGCCTCCCATGGAATATTGTTCTCAAAATAAACATGCGTTTAAAATTTGCTGTCTTTGATACGAGTATTTATAGTACTTTTTCGCATCAGTCGCGGGTATTAAGAATCTTTTTTATGGATGGCTGGGTGCTACCATCTGCTTGGGATCTCATAATTAATAAAATTAAATCCCAACCCAAGCATAAGTTCATACTGCTCAGTCCCCCCCCCCCCCCGTGACGATGGGTGCTGAATAGTGCTCGAAACGTTAGGAATATAAATAAGTTAATATACGCGATAAATCCGTAAAATTAGTTTTATTTAAATGTGTAGTGTTCGCGTAAATTTAAGAAATAATAAACTTTTTACTGTTGTGGACCCAATCTACCTAGTAATTAATCATTCAAAATATTCCATCATTTAAAGATGGAAATCTTAGAGTATACTAAATTGTTTTTTTATAAAAAAGGGGGCAAACGATCATGCGGCTCACCTGATGGTAAGTGATTACCGCCACCCATGAGCAACCACATCGCCACGGGAATTGCAGATGTGTTGCCGGCCATTTAGAAAGGTATAAGCTCTTTTCTTAAAGGTCCTTAAGTTGTATCGGTCCGGAAAAATCGCCGGTGGTAAACAATTCCACAGAGAAGTTGTATGAGGAAGAAAACTCCTAGTAAAACCACAGTCGTGGACTGCCAAGCATCCAGATGGTGAAGATGGTATTGTGAATTTTGACGCGATGTGCGTTCGTGAAATTTGGCGGCTGAAATTAATCCGAACAATTCCACAGAGTACTCCTCGTGGTAGATTCGATAGAAAATGCAAAGGGATGCAACATCCCTACGCAGCGCCAGTGTATCGAGCCAATCAGAAAGAACTTGATCGTCGACTATTCGAACCGCTCTGCGCTGGATGCGTTCAAATGGAAGGAGCTGGCATTGGGGTGCCCCGGCCCAGAGATGAGAACAGTATTTCATGTGAGGCCGAACTTTCGCTTTGTAAGGTTGCAAGCGATGCGCCGGCATGAAATACTGTCTCACTCTGCTGAGCACGCCAAGTTTTTTTAGAGAATAATTTGGCCTTCCCTTCTAAGTGACTGCACACTACATTCCGATGCTAGCAGAGGTAGCAAGGGCAACGCCTTGAAAGTGAGGAAATACGACAAAGGGTTTTTTTAGCCGTAAACGCGCAAACTTGAGTCTTCTAGGGATTGAACTGGATTAGATTTAGTCGCCCCCAATCACACACACAAAGGCACAAGTTTGTTCCAGTACTCAGCGACGTTTTCCTGAGAAATATTGACACGGCCGGTGTATAAGGCATCAAGTTGTACATCTTCAGCGTCATCTTTAATGATTGGGCATAATGTGTTTTAATTTCTTGCTCTTACTTATTCTTTTTCGGCTTTACAAATGTAGGATTGAGCGTGCAATGTAAGATGGAAACTAAACGGTTGCACGTTGAGAAAACTTGCATCGCGCAACGTGTTGCGAAGTAAAAGTAAGTTTACTTGAATTAACTTGCGCGTTTTGATGCTTGAAGACCCGCATATGTATAGGCAAACTGATGCGGTATTCTACTTTTCTGGATTGCAATCTCTAATTCCATCTTAGTCTTAAGAGATGACGACGCATTGTACTTTTTCAGTCGCGTCCCACCTTTAGTAGATTTTCCGCCTATGATCAAAAGCACACGTGTAGCTGACATGGTTTTAGAACATTTTGACGCGGAAAAGATATGGGGATCGGAGGAATATCTGTAACGTTCAAATATAAAAATTTTATGCCGTTACGATGACGTGATACGATATGCTAAGGAGCGGAGGCAAACGAAAGGCTAAGGAAACAACAAGGTCGAAATTGACCTATGGTAAAAAAGCCTGATCAAGGTACGCTAGTACTATCTAAATAAAATAAAAATAAATGACGCTATTAAATTAATTTTATTTAATATCCAAGGCCTTATTCATTTTTAAGTTGTAGTATAATGAAATTGTTTTTATTTACTTGTATAAGCTTAAATATCTTCAAAATAATTTATTTTATGAGCGTTTGCTCTATCTCAACAGTGACACCAATTTTTACCAACGACAGACTACAGTTGTAATTATTGTGTTTTTCTTTTAAGAGAATTTTATATTATAGCGACGAAAAAACCCGCTCTTTCATATAAAATTTCTAGTGATAATTAATGAAGACGTTTATTATAAATTCATTTATATCATAAAGTTCTACACAAATATTTTTTTTAATATTTATTTATTAGGTCCTTTCATCGTCCATACAAAGAAATATATCAATTTTAGATATCAATTTATAATTTAAAACAGTATTAGCCTCTCAAGTGTCAAGATGCCCGCAGGGGGTTGACAGCGCATGCATGTCCGTGTGTCAGCCGAACCCGTGTGCCCATTTCTCAATTTAACACGCCTTGTCCTTTAATCTATGTTGTTCAAAGATAAAACGCTGTTTTAATCTTTGAACAACATTGATAAAAGACAAAAGATGACAGGCAATTCTTTAGTTTTATAGAATATGAGTAATAAGTGAGCACATAGTCCCCCTGGCGGTAAGTGAAAACTGTGGCCCATAGACAACTAGAGGACCCATCTAATATTTTGTTTATGTTTGTAACCTTAAGGAAAATAAAACATTTATTTATTATATTATACCGATTATTATTCTTGATTAAGAATCAAAATACTGATGCATCGTCACTCCTGCCAGGTTTTATAAATCGTCAACCGATCATGCAAGAGGCTAAAATAACAGGAGAATCCTGCCGCATATGGTCACACAGTATACCACTTAAAGGTCCATAGACCATACAAAGAGCATAAGTAAAGAATTTCTCTGTCTACGCTAAAGAATTATAGACTTATAGTCCGTTCATCTTAACTAGATGCGTGAGTGATTGGTAGCACTGTTTACTCAGTCGCCACCTTTCTTTTAGTTTGATCGTTTGCTTGAGTTCGCGTGAGGTCAAAAATGGAACGCCTTGTTTTCTTTAAAAAAAGTTTCCGGTCCTCTACACCCAACGCGCAAAACAGTACAATTTTAGTCGATGACGATGCGAAAAAACCCTTTGCGATAACTTCTTTTAAGGCAAAGTATACCTTACGTTTATTGATGTGGCATGATTGCGCAGCAGGTTGAATTTCAAATTATTGCAATTCATACAAATGTGAACTTTAATAACTTGAGAATAAACTCGGTTTTCGAATCACAAATACTGTTCTAAAGGTCCTAAACTATCTTAGTTACAATAGAAATAAAACTTTTTATGATGGGAATTAAGTTCAAAATTGCAAAGCAATAAAAAATTCCTGCTCTGCGACCGTGCTTTATCGTGGAATTTTAAAAGCAAATTTCAATGGAACAATTATTCAAATCACTCTTTCCTGTGTTCAAATTATATGTCATCCAGCCAACATCAGAGACACAGACCGGAAATTGAACG